CTTAATTTGCTGCTAAACAAAGCAAAAACTATTATATTAAACTGCCATGCCAACATCTCAAAGGAAATAAACTTTGCCAAATTTAAACAACTTCCATTATTCAGTAACAAATAATGCCAAGTGGAGGCAGGCAAATCACTGAAATTTATTGCAGGGGTTGGGTGTGGGGAAGGGATCCTGGTTTCACTGAGAAACTCAGCCCCATGTCACCATTTTAAACTGCATTTTGAGGATTTTCTGAAAAAGCAAGTACCCAGCATACATCTGGATGGAGAAGTATTTTTTATTTGCCCCTGGGATGTAGGTATTTCAGGAAAGACTAGTTTTTGTATTATCCTTTGGTAGATAGTGGTGAAGCAACTACAAATTGTAGCTTGCTAGGGTCATTTCAGTTGGCAGTTAAGACTCCAGTGCAATGCTGTCGGTCTGGAATCACATATATACCAGGGCTGTGTCAGGTTGCAGATTTCATTCCTTGGAGGAATTTAGTGAATCAGATGGATTTTTACAGCAATCCAGTGATCTGGTAATCATTTTGTTCTATACTTGTTGATTAATAGAATTTCAATTTCCGCATTGCCATGGAGAAATTTGAACTAATGTCTTCAGAGCATTAGTCTGGTCATCTGCATTATTCACCTTGTAATATTAGCATTTGCTACTGTTTCCTCAAAGCCCAACAGAACAAATGACTCAGTCATAACAATGCTAACTGAGATGGTTGAAGATGGAATGAAACAACTAGATTTGCTTCAGATGGTGGGAGAACCAGCAAAAAGTACTAAGCTATTTAATGCCATCTTCATTGTTACCAGCATCAGACAGACCTGGGAATGAGACCTGAGTAATGCAAATACATAGGGCTGTCAGCACTCTAAACATCAAAAGTCATAGGTTATAGATAGGGCTGAGTAGTTCCAAAACCAGGAGTTTACAGCAAAACACTGAAACCCGGCTATATCTGATAGGAAATCAGGCAAGTAACAATATAATGGGAATTCATGAACATCTCCATTCTTAACCATGTTAGAGCTAAGTGTATGAATACAAAGACAAGGTTGAATTATTTGGAAATATCTTTAGCGAAACTGGATGATCCAAATCTATCTGTTTCTGACGTTCTCACCATTTTAGATAGTTATCTTCAGCCAATGTAGTCCATGACACTTGGCATTGTCAAGTTGCAAAACCACACAATAAAGGTTTTGAACTCCGAGAGAATTCTGGCAGCGTTGCTGAAGGTGTGTCCATCAAAACTAGCCAATTCCAAGCTGTTCCACTAGGACACTATTCTAAAATATGGAAGAGTTCCCATTTACAAGAAAAGGACAGTTCAATTCCAAATCAACACTGCCTTATCAGTCTCCACCCAGTCACCAGTAAAATGATGGGCATCATCATCAAGAAACCATCAGGCAACACCTACTCACCAATAACCTCACTTATAATCAGTTCAAGTTCTATCATAACCATGTGACTCCATAACTCATAACAGCCTTGAATCAGATGTAGACAAAAGAATTTGTGAGGTAAAGTGAAACAAACAACCCTAGACATCAGGACATCAGATTATGTATGGCATCAGTGAGCTCTGGCAAAATTAATAAATTGTAGTCAAAAAGGAAGTCCTCTAATAGCTGGAATCATAGCTGGGACAATGACTGTGGGGATCGGAGACCAGTCAGCAACAGATACTTGTACACTTCCTCTGGGAAGAATCTTCAACCCAACCATTTTCAGTGGTTTCTTCAATGGCATTTGTCCATCGTAAAGTCAGGAGAGGGCTGTTCAGGATAGCGACTGCAATGATAGTTCCATAGCTTTCAGCCTCCATTTCTAACAACTCACTGAAAGAAAGAACCCATGCAAAACTACTGGAATACAAGACTAATCTCCAGTGTTGGAGTGAGAAATGACAAGATGATATTCACACCATGTAAGTGCTAATGTAGTGATTATCTCATAAAAGAGGAAGTCACCTGACTTACCTTTGATCTTCAATGGTAACCTCACAACTAACATCTGGATGGTTATCAGTGACCAGAAGTTGAACTGGACCAACTTTACCAATTCTGTGCCAACAACAGAATACCAGAGGCTGGGTTTTCTCAAACTCCAACCTTCATTTACAATGATCATATTAAGAGAATGCAATGTTACTGAAGCAGTGATGACAGATCAAATGCTATATGAGGTTCTATTGTCATTTCAATATTATTTAATTTGAAGTACCAGCTTGATAGAACTACCCACCTAAATTCCTCCAGTGGACTTGATTCTTGAAAATCTGGCAACTATGCAATTGAGCAACAGTCCAGCATAATGGGTTCCCAGCCCATTTTCTGACACTTGTCCACTAAATTAATATCTGAACCTTGCACAACGTTTGGTTCTCAAATTCATCTGAAGACTTGTTCAATCTTTACTTTATTTGCTATTGCTCGCAATACACATCGTTTCTCCAGGGTAGCTCACAATTTTATTTTGGGGAGAGCTAATAATATACAATAATCTTAAGTCCCTGACGGAGGCCATACAGTGGGGACTCATTTATGGGCCCTTGACAACATTGCAGAGGGATTCTCAACTCTCAAATTAACATAATATCCAAACTAGTAATGGATTTATAATTTCACTTTAGTCTCCATTTAACTATATACTCATCGAAAATCTATACAATTGATCTCACTAACTTTACCATAGTAAAAGCAAATAAAGGAAAGTAGGAAAATCCAAGGAAATGTAAAGTGACAATTCAATTGAGTGTTTCTTGCAGGCAATACAATGTTACAGAAGGGGGTCATCAGCTGTCCTCCCCACTGCTATTATAGCCTTCAACATCTAGATAGTTATGTTTTGTTTTTTACAAGAAATTGCAGAACAAGCTATTCTCACTGAATTTTTTTTTGCATTTCATGACAAATACAGGATGCGATGGGGAGCATGTTGAAGGTTGAAGGATAATTGCAGTAATATGCCTGTACAGCATTACATGACAAACAAAAAGGACAAGGAAAGATAAACTGGTTCATTTAGTTGGTCGTATTCAGACATTGTGCAACTTACATGCACCATGAAATCCTCACATTGTGTCATGATGTTGAAGCCCTCGATGTTATTAAGTCCCAGTTACACAACCTCCTGGGAGAGTCAAATACAGAGAACAAAAGCTGAAGGCCAAGTTTTTAAAAAAAAGTCTCTTGTGGATTTTGACATTGACCTGTGAAAGCAATTAATCAAATACCAGGCGACTAGAATAACTGGTAACACTTGTCACTGTTGGCACCATTTATCCTCTCTAGCCCGAGATATCTTCTACTGTTATGAATTTATCCAGAAGGCCTCAGTACTATATATTCACCACACATTCTGGAATTTTATTCCATGGATTGTATTCATTTGAAGTACATTTGCTGTACTATAGCCTATTCCATCAAAAAATCACCCTGGAGTCTATTTTATCTAAATTCCTAAGTACTTTACATCAAAAAAATGTCCAGGAGCTCTCAAAACTTTAATGTAACTAATTTATAAGATTGGTGAAGAGCAATAATCCTAATATAGATTACTGAGGGTCTCTACTAGTGACTGAACCTGAGATATAGCCACTACCCTTTGCCAATATAAAAACTGAAAGAACTGTGGATACTGTAAATCAGGAGCAAAAACAGAAGTTGCTGGAAAAGCTCAGCAGGTCTGGCAGCATCTGTGAAGAAAAAAATTGGAGTTAATGTTTCGGGTGCAGTGACCCTTCCTCCTTCGGTTCTGAGGAAGGGTCACCAGACCCGAAACATTAACTCCGATTTTTCTTCACAGATGCTGCAAGACCTGCCGAGCTTTTCCAGTAACTTCTGTTTTTGTATCCTCTGCCTACGCCAATCCAATCAATTCCCAGGGCCAGGGTTGTGCCTCAGAGATTCAAGTGCGAAATTCTGAATGAAATAAACAGTGAGAGAGGTGACTGAAGGGAGTTTACTATCTTTGAAAATAGGTAAAACAACAAGGCTGAATGAAATATGCTCCAGTTAACTGAGCAAATAGCTGAGGAATTCTGAATGCTTAGGACTTTATTGTTGGTTCCTTATAACTTTGCATACTTTCATTAAATCTCCTTTTCCCCATTATGCTCTAAAGAACAAGCTGCAGCTTTCTTCATTAACAAAACTCTCCAATCCAGGCAATATCTTTGCATATCTCCTTTGTATCTTCTCTAGTATGATTGCACTTTTCCTATAATGCAGTGAGTAAAACAGTATGCTGTGCTTTAGCAATGGCCCAAGTAGTGTTTTCTACAGTTTCAGCATGACCTCCATGGTGTCTTGACTAGGAAAGTATTCCATTGGCCAAAGGGACATGTTGGCAGAAACACTCACTGCTTTGAGAAAAAAACACTTGGATAGGCACTTGAAGTCATTTAAAAGGCTACAGTCTAAAAATTGGAAAATGGGAAAATCCAAATGTCCTCTCCTGCTCCTAGGTTTTTTATATTAATCTCTAATGTGTGCAACACTGTAAAGGTAGCGGATACTTCCAGGTTAGTCTAGGTTTGAGTCTCAGCAGTTGAGCCATCTGCTATCAGGAAAATCTCAGTGACATTACAAATTTGCCCCCCAAGAGAGCATTAATTGAGCCTAATTAACTACTTGCCTCTGCCAGATGGGTAGTCAGTGTCGGTCTGAACCTGCTTCCAGCAAGAGTACTAAGAATGGCACAGTGTTAATTGACTGGGCAAAGTCAGCCTGATACGTCCACACTTTTCAGCATTCTTCAGTCCAGGGCTAAGGAAACAATCTTTAGCTGTTGCCATTGCTACACTCTAAACAGCCATTAGAAGGAGTATAAGACTATCGCAGCTTGACTGACTTTCGTTTGATTTTGAATTATACTGAATCTGTTCAGAGCCTTTGTTTAATGGATTAACTGAACACTACTTTTCCAGTTTGTTAGTTTATCAAAATTCTATATCACTTAAGACAGAGGCAAACATTTGAGTTTCATACCTTTGAAGTGGGATGTGAAGCAGAACACATCATATTTGTCTTTCATCTTGTCTCTGTATCCGTAGCTTCTAATACCCGGAACTGTATTTCTCCCTCCACATGGCTCCCTGGGTTTAATGATGGGATACTGCACAGACCCATCACTCAGCCATCCTGCATTACACCAATCCATCCCTGCTCTCCATGCATCATAAAGTTGCTCAAATGAAGCAACTATTGCATCCTGATCTTCACAAGCCTTCTGAGCCTCAGCAAAATTCAGGTTGTAGCGACCTAGCCGTGGGAAGTATGGGAACACAACACCTGGAAGCAAATGAGGAACACAAGAAGACACAAATAAATATATCCACTTGATAAATGTAAGCACAACAAACACATACGAACACAGACTGTCAAACACATGTTTAGATATTCTATTCAAATATGTGTTCATTTAACATTCGTCACAATGACTTGCCAGGATCTGAGAGGTGCACTGATTCTGTGAAATTTCAATTATTCGTTAATACCATCTATGGGTGTAGTTGATTTTACTTTCAGCTTTTCTCCACATTGCCATAATTTCATATTGCGCTCACATTATCTGCACATTCCCTTGAAAAATTCTCTGTATAGGTCATCATTTCCATGAGAGATTGTCAAAATACTGTTGCAGAATTTGTGAATAACCAATGAGAGGTCTCTGAGTGTTTTTCTTGGCTGGACTCATTAATGTGAATTTATTCGTGCATACATATGCATGCCTTCAACCCTTCCACAAGAATTACATCAAATCAAATAATATGAAGTCTGTCAGCTTCGAAGGTGGAAAGCAAATTTAACTTATTTATATTTGACTGAATTGTGGACTCTCTGCCTTTTGCATGTTTCTTCCCCACTAGCCCACCAGTTCATAAATTCTTACAAACTTTTCATCATTCCTGTCAGGAATTTCAGGCGTTTCCAGACCAAGTCAATACAGTGTGGACCTAGAGGAACACAGCAGGTCGGGCAGCATCAGAGAAGTAGGAGAGCCAACATTTTAGGCCTAGACCCTTCATTCGACCAATACCACCATAAACCAGGTTCCAGGAGATAAATCTTTGCAATTGGGCAGTTAATATTTTGAATTTTGTTCAGGCACATGTCTGACCATTCTGAGGCTGTGGGTCTGCACATAAATAAGTTGTGCTACCAATTCACTTCTATTTTAACCAATGAATGTATTTGAAATCTGAAATTCTCTTTAATTAAAACCAAAGAAAAATGCTACAAATAGTCAGCAGGTCAGGCAGTGTCTGTGGGTGAAAGAGAGTTAATGCTTTATGCCGCCATCACATTTCATTAGAGCTGGAATTTTCTTTATCAGACTTATGAGGCTTTTGTTTATTCTTGACAGTTTATACTGGAGAAAAATAGGACAGTGCCGGAACATGTAGGACAAATTATAACTCAATTTAAATGTAACAAATAGCTCCCAGTTAATTCTGACAGCATAGGGAAGCTAGAAATATAAGATTGGAACACTACGCTAAATGTCACAATTCCTCACTTACACAAATCTGAACTAGGTATGCCACATTAAGGAATGTGCCAATGATTGAATTCTTATTCAAAAGTTGGATTTCAGTATCCAGTTTAAAATCTGGTCCCACGCAGAGACATGAAGGTCAGCTTATAGTGTGACAATGTTATGTTTCTGTTCTTCCTTTTGATTTCCAGTTTTACAGTTCCATGCTTACCCTGGATGCTTGATGTTGCGTTAATTCTCTTTTCAAGGGATATAAGGAGCCAGCAGGAAAGATCTGGCATGATCATATTGAATGGTGGAACAGGCACAAAGTTTCGAATGGTCTAATGCTGCCCCTGTGTTCCCATTCTAATTCCTTGACCTTTCATGGTTTTTTTCCCAATTTCCTGATGTGCGATTTCCAGCCTGCCCTGAATTCCTGACCTAGAACTTCTCCTTGCCTGACCCTGATTCTCTCAAGTAGTGTTATTTTTGCTGAGTGCTCTGATGTGTTGCCACTATTCTTGAGTCATTCATCCCATTGTTCTGCTATGTTCTACTGAGATAAAAAATTTGAAATCTCAAATCTGTCAGGCATATTTTTCAAATTCATTTATGCATTGCCATTGAGTGGGTAGTGGTGATCCATGTTTTTGCATAGCTGCAATTCACCCCCAGTGCTGATGGGGAAGGAGTTCCAATATTTCGAATCAGTGACATTGAAGAAACAGCAATATATTTCCAAGTCAAGATGGTGAGTGGCTTGAAGAGAACTTGCAGGTGGTGGTTTTCCCATATTACCTGCTGCCCTTAGCCTTTTTGATGGTGATTGTCATGGGTTTGGAAACATAGAAACATAGAAGATAGGAACAGGAGAAGGCCATTTGGCCCTTCAAGCCTGTTCCGCCATTCTTCCCGATCATGGCCTAATCCTGCTTTCTCCTCATAACCTTTGATCCCAAGTGCTATATCTAGTCACCTCTTGAATAAATTCAATGTTTCAACATCCACTACTTCCTGTGGTAATGAATTCCACAGGCTCACCACTCTTTGGGTGAAGAAACATCTCCTCATCTCCGTCCTAAATTGTCTACCCTGAATTCTCATACCGTGACCCCTGGTTTTGGACACAGCCATCATCGAGAACATCCTCTGTGCCTCTGTGCATCTATCCTGTCCAGTCCTGTTAGAATTGTATAAGTCCCTATGAGATCCCCTCTCATTCGTCTCTTAGGCACCTTGGTGAATTTCTACAATACACCTTGTTGACTGTGCAACCAATGCTACCGAGTGTCAGTTTTGGAAGGAGTGAATGCTTGTGGATGTGTTGCCAATCGAGCAAGCTGCTTTCTCTGGATGGTACCAAGCTTGTTGAGTGTTGTTGGAGCTGTACTCATTCAGGCATGTGGGATATACTCGATCACACTCCTGACTTGTGCCTTGTAGATTATGGACAAACTCTGGGGACTCAGGAGGTGAGATACTTGCCTGCAAGATTCCTAGCCTTTGGCCTGCTCTTGTAGCAATAGTACATGTATAGCTGGTTCAGTTCAGTCTCCAGTTAATGGTAACCCCCAAGACGTTGACAGTGGGAATTCACGTGTTCATAGACTGCCACTTCTATGGCGTGAATGCTACTTTCTACATGTGGATCATCAGCCCAAACCTGGATTTTGTCATAATGAATCATAGAATCATACAATCTTACAGTACAGAAGGAGGCTAATTGATCCATTGTATCTGTACTGGCTCCTCTTGCTGCATTTCAGCATGCTTCAGCATCTAAGGAGTCACAAGTGATGCTGAACATTGTGCAGTGATCAGCAAATCCCTTCTGACCTTATGAGGGTGGGAAAGTTATTGATGATGCTGCTAAAGATATCTGAATCTAGGACATGACCCTGAAGAACTCCTGCAGAGATGTTCTGGAGCTGAGACAACTGACCACCAGAAGCATCTTCCTTTGTACTAGGTATGACACAAACCAGTGAGAGTTTTTCCTCTGATCCCCATTGACTCCAATTTTGCCAGGGCTCCTTGATGCCACACTCAGTAAAAATGCAGCCTTGATATCAAGGGCAATCACTCTCTCCTCATTTCTTGAATGTATCTCTTTTGTCCATGTTCGAACCAAGGGTCTACTGAGGTCAGCAGCTGAATAGCCCTGACAATACACGAATGGAGTGCCAGTGAACAGGTTATTGCCAATCAGGTGCAGTTTAAGAGCAATGTTGATAACGCCTTCCATCACTTTACTGATAAATGAGAGTAGACTGATGGGCTGGTAATTATCTGGGTTGAAATTATGCGGTTTTTTGCATACAGGACATACTTGGCAATTTTCCACACGGCCGAGTAGATACCAGTGTGGTAGCTGTGAAGTTATAGTTCGTGCTGAGATGTTAGTCATTATGTTTATTTTATGAGTGGCAGAATCTTTAATTGGAAGTTGATTGAAATCCTGTCTATTAATTGCATAAAATCTAGTGTCAATGGATCGTGATCAGAGTGAAAAGCATAATTTAAGCAAAAGTGGGGGCATGATCTAAAACACTGCATTTCAGTATCTGGGTCAGGCTGCAATACACAACAACACTTGTCGTAGATATGATCCCATGTCCGAGTAGTGTGGGAATTTGTCCTGTTACTTTGGTTGCTTCATGGATCCTTGACCAATATAGCATCATCTAACTTCCCAATTAGAAAAGAGAGTGTCGAGAAGGTAATTGTGATACAAAACATATATTTCTAACTACAGGCTCAATCACAATATGTATAACAATTTACGAAAATTAACTGAAACATTTTACAAAGTGTGTACAAGTCTTCAGTCCATGACCATTAATGCAAAAACTAACAAGCTCAATTATTATTATTTAGAAACAACCAGAGATACCAACATTGTGAAAATGTCAAGAATAATGCCCAAGGATTGGGGCAGCATGGTAGCTCAGTGGTTAGCACTGCTGCCACACAGTGCCAGGGACTTGGGTTCAATTCCACTCTTGCACAACTGTTGGTGTAGAGTTTGCATGTTCTCCCTGGGTCAGTGTGGCTTTCTGTTAGGTGCTCTGGTTTCCTCCCACAGTCCAAAATTGCCCATAGTGTCCAGGGATGTGGGTTAGTCATGCGAAATCCAGGTTACAGGGATGGAGTAGGGGAGTGGGTCTGGGTGGGGTGCTCTTCAGAGGGTCGGTGTGGGCTTGAATGGGCTGAATGGCATGCTTCCACATAATAGGGATTCTATGAATACAATTTATTTCAGAAGAAGTGATAGATTAAAAGCTTATTTCAACACATAGAAGAAATATTTAGTTTTAAGGGTGAAAAATCAGAATAAGTCACATTTTGATTGACATTTAATGCAAATATTTGAATCACAAAATTCTTACAGCATGGAAGGAGGCTATTTGGCCTATGATGCCTGTACTAACTCTTCAAACAAGCAACATTACTCAGTGCCAATCTCCTGCTTTTCCCCCATATCCTTGCACACTATTTCTATACTGTCAGACAATATCCAATGCCCTCTTGAACGCCTCATTTGAACCTGCCTCCATTACATTTCCAGGCAGTACATTACATACCCCTAACTGCTTGCTGTGTGAGATGTTTTTCATCACATCATCTTTGCTTCTTTTGCACATCACTTTAAATCTATGCCATCTCATTTCGTTCTTTTCACGAGCAGGATCAGCTTCACCCTATATACTGTATCCAGCTCACTCACAATTTTGAAAACATCTACGAAATATCCTCTGAGTCTTCTCTCCAAGAAGAACAGTCCCAACAGCTTCAATCTATCCTCCTAACT